TGGACATTCAAGGTTTTTGGTTAAATTAACTAAACATTTAAGGTTGTTTATTAAACAAAACAAACCAAGTCAGTATAAAATTTGCATGTGAGTCCGTTGATAAATTTACAAATCAATTATAATTCAACCACGTATTACAATTATATTAAATACTTTGGTATCTATTTTATTAGAGCTCTAAAATATTATGATTGTGACAATGTAACATAAATACGTTAAAAGGTGGAATAATTATTGAATTATAAAATAGTAAAATTAAATATGACTTAAAAGATACTTTTTCAGCAAATATAGTGTAGTTGAGATAACGATAACCGCAATAAAATTGAAGAATCCTTTTTATGCTTTTTATTTAACAAGGATATAATTTTAAAGTAGGGGGTTTCCATAGTAAAAAACCATCCGAGTGTTAAAACACGAATGTATTTGCATTTGCAACTGTTAAGAAACCTCTAGTTATTAGCCGTGTTTCTCTCCAAGTCGTAGTGTCTCGGACTCAGATGTGTAGGGTTGCGACGTACAGTTCTTCTTCTTCTTCATATACACACAAGATTTAGGTGTTTTAACCACCCTTCATTAAAAGTATTCAAATTCAAATTCAAAATTCAAATTCAAATTTATTTATTTGTGATATTACTGGACAAATTGAATTGATATTACTGGAAATTGAGTAGGTTAAGTTTTTATCTAAAAACAAAAAAAAACTGTTGATGCAAATGTAAAATAATCATAGACCAGGGTAATGTTTAAGGTAAAATCAGGAAATTAGGAGATTCAAGCACTGACTGATCCTTCAACACTACAAAGCTTTTTAAACTACTTACAATTGAACAATGGCAATCTGGGCCAGCAATGTATTCAGATGTGAAGTTGCCCAACAATAGGCATGTTCAATGTTCATATCCTCTTGTTTGTTGCCTTTGCCAATTTTGACAATCGCGGTAAGTGAAAGGGAAGTCACGACAGTTGGAAGGAAACACGGGAAGTTGGCTCAAGTTTTTGGCGGAAGTTCCTTGACTGTTTGTTGGCTGAGTTGGAGCAGTTGAAGTACCGTACTTTTCTTGACCCTCGACGTTGTATGCAAATTATCCGGATTCAAGTGACACAAAGAAAGTTGAAAGCTTTGTAGGAAAAACCAAGTCATACTTCACTGGTCGGTGTTTATATTTTACCCTTGACCAATTAATTAATTAATTAATTAATTAATCAATTAATTAATTTTTGCCCCGTACGTCGTCGCGAGCGCCGCACCGAGCGGTCGCCTTCGCTAGCGTTGATAGCTTTAATTTAATATGGCAATTAAACTTTTTAATTGGTCAAATAAATAAATGTTGGGTAATATGTTGCCAATATATATTATGGGCATTTATGTTGTAATTTTGTAGTTTGTTTGGTCAAGGTTGGAAATGTATTTTACAAGTTGAAACTTTGTAGATATTAGCCTAGACACCTATTTATTATCAATATTTTTACCTTTTTGGTAGCCTAAGGTGTCCAAAATTCTTATCTCCTGCGAGACGCGTTTCGCATTAATTACAATGCATCTTCAGTCGCTGTCACAGGTCTCAACATTGCCCACAGAAGTGGTTGTCACAATTTATAAAAAATATTAACAGAGTAGGCCTACAACCTTGTGCGGTTTTGCGTGTCTTCTCCCGCTCGCTTGATTTACAGTACGTGTGTGACCATGGTCGTAAAGCTGTATATACATATGTGTTTCGTGAACTGTTCGGTTATGTTAATATGTTTTATAAATTGTGACAACCACTTCTGTGGGCAATGTTGAGACCTGTGACAGCGACTGAAGATGCAATGTAATTAATGCGAAACGCGTCTCGCAGGAGATAAGAATTTTGGACACCTTAGGCTACCAAAAAGGTAAAAATATTGATAAGTTGAAACTGTTAAATCAATGTTACCAATAATTTTTACCTTGAAGTAAGTAATTGATGTTATACATAAATTATTTCAGAATTAATATTAAAAAAAAATCTTATTAAATACAATTAAAATTATCATTCTATAACATGTTATTTCATGTTTTATTACTGTTTTATTATTACTGCCTCCGCGCTCTCACTCACACACGCTCTCCATCTCTCTCTAAACTCCCTTTTACCGCGCTCGGTAGAACTTGTCTGGTCTTAGTCTTGTTCGGGGAAATGTTCGGATTGAAATTTTGCTTATATTTACCTCCCTTCTCCCTCCTCCCTGCTCGGTTTGGGGTCTTGATCGGGGAAAATATCGATAGTGTGTCACCGCCTTTATAAAATCGTAGACGGCGTATAAGCTGAAGCATCATTGCATTAAGTGTTGTAAATTTTGAAAATATGAGAATAGTCAATTGTTAGAGGAATCAAGAGTTTGTTGATCAGTGTATACAACTTAAGCTATCAATAGCTCAATTAATACACATCATAAGCTAACGTTTAAGCTACATTTTTTCCTTAATTCGTACAACTACTTTTTTATAATTTAAATATCAAACCCATTTAACCATTAAGGCTTCTCAGTTGATGCTGAAAGAAATATTTGTGTAGGTGTTCTCAATTGTATGTTCTAACTGTATTTATCGAGCCTTTGCTATACTAAGCTATACGATATTCAGCGTTTGACGATTTATTTCTTGAGGTATGAATAACTAAATTTTAATGCATTCATTATTTCACGCTTCATTATTTCTGGAAGGAACTCTGTTACAGTGTGTAGATATGATTTTTTTTCAAATTATCACTTTGAATATCGTTTAGAATAAATAACTCCTGGACGTCGGTGCCATGCCAATATTAAATTGACATTGCATAGCTTGTGTTCATAATTTGTTAACATACGCCTACATAAATAGTTTAGTATTTCATAACTACTAGGTGATTTTTATTGACTCTAAAATGAAATGATAAAGCTATATATCCATAACATTGAATTTTCAATTCTGGTTCTGGCAAATGATGGACCTTTAATCCCACAATTCCACTAATAACCTAATACTCTTAATCATCATCATTTAACTAATTCAAAGTATGAACAAAACAATAAAATAGGCTAACTGTATGTAAATTCGTTGTCCAATTTTTTTAAGTAAATCATCAGGGTAAATAAAGTGTTTCTTGTAAGAATTCAACACGAAGATATATTACTTTGAACATAACAGGCTTGCATTATATCTTCTTTGTTAGAACGCTCAACATTTGTTCACTGCACCTGACAGTTTCTTTGACCAACAATTGACATTTAGAAACTGAAGTTTCAGCGCTGCCAACATAAAGACACAGTGAGAGCCAGTTACTGCGATACTCTTGTTACATTCCACCTAGATATATGGCGTGTCATTGTTGTAGCCGTGTAGTGTGGGACACATCGTGAGTTCCTCTATGTCGATTATGTAATCTCTATCACGAATCTCAGATCCATGGAGGTCTACAACAGATGTTCTAACTGTAGTTCTAACAGCGCTCTACACCGTTCTGTTTATTTACTCTACGTTTTTGGCAAGTAAATAAAACATCCTGTGTAAAGTTTGTATACGTATGTAAGCGAATTCTTTGTTATTGGGACAATTTAGGTCATTAAAATGAATCTCTTTAAGTTTTCTTGTTCGACGCTCTGAGATGTCATACTGATGACAGAAGTTGCAGACAGCCACAGCTTTGCTACTAGTTTCGTTAACTGCTGCATTCAATTGAGAATGTCAACAATATGTTTGCAATGTGTAGAAAGAAATCCATTTTTGAGAAGCTTCTCATTGACATTTTGTCTGAGCGGAGTAGTCATGTTGTTTGCCCTTGATTCAGAAGATAGCCTGTTATATCTATTGCCGGATCGATTCAAAACCCAAAAGAATCTTTGTTATTGAGCTCTAAATCCATTGATGAAGCTTTCCAATGTAAAAGAGCCAGAATTTGTACTGTTCCCTTAAAACCCAGTAAACAGTAATATTGGTTGAAAAATTAAATGCATCTCACATGAAGGTCGTATGAAGGTGGAAGTTATATAAGAGGTCAACGGTCACCAGTTGTGTTGATGGTGATCCCCTGAAGCGGTGCCGGTATGTGCAGCGACCGTGACCGGTAAATGGTAAGTGGTAACTGAGATAACCTCTCAATGTTACGGACTACTGCTCACAGTGAGTAATATCTGCATTACTAGACGCATAATACTAGAGTTTACATCTGACAAAACAATGTCAGTTTTGAATATATTTGTGTCGAAACACATCTATGAAAATATGACTAAATGTGTTTGGAGGCAATTTTCTGACTTAGGTCGGATTTCAACAAAAATCATCCAGTTTAAAAATCATTAAATACTGACAAAGACAAGTTGCAAATTTGAAGGAATTTTTTTGGAGTAAACGGTTTTTGTAATAAGAAGATAAACTATGTTCGTCTCGAGATATCTAGTTGAGTAAAATATTAATACAACAGTAGTAATTGTGGAAAAAATAATAGGCCTACGAGAACAGTTGCTGTATATCAGTGTTTCACGTGCATTGAAACTAAGTTGACTAACTAGTGTGGACCGATATTCTCGTCACTGATATCTCATCTATCATAACATACATTTACTCAACATCCTTACATTGTATAAGTAGCTAAGTGCCACATGTGCTGCATACTGTATGCTACCAACATACAAGTTTAAGTGATTTGGTTAGTTTTAAGTGTGAATTTTGTTTATATTCTACTAGAGTAGTGCTGTATTTCCGATTATGAAAGTATAAAAATAAACTTTAGAAAATAGGTCACTAGGCTACACAAAAGTAATGAAATTAATGATGGTAATTAAGGTTGTATGTTCTTTAGTTTTACACTGTTTTGTTTAGCAATAATTAACTTTAGGCCTAATGCTTGAGTTTTTAGTAATGAGCATTATTGGAATGGCAGGAAAATCATAGAAGTAATATTAAGTTGTAAGTTTATTATACAAACATTACTTACAATTTTTGGTTTGGAACTATATTACAATAGATTGAGCATAGAGATCAAGTTGAATAGGCTCTCAGTGGTAACCGTGTCCATAAGCGTAAGCAGGGGCAGCGTAGCTGGCGTAGGCGGGGGCAGCGTACTTGGCGACGGGGGCGGCGTAGGCAGGAGCAACGTATTTGGCAACGGGGGCAGCGTAGGCCGGGTAAGCGGGGGCGGCGTACTTAGCTACGGGGGCGGCGTATGCTGGGTAAGCGGGAGCAGCGTACTTAGCGACGGGGGCGTAAGCAGGGGCGGCGTACTTGGGGGTGGCGTAGGCCGCGGGGTGAGCTCCAGCCTCCTTGTGGACGACGGCGTTGAATCCGTTGTGAGGGTCAGCGGTGTACTCTACAGTCCTCTTGGAACCGTCAGGCTCGACCAGGCTGTAGGATCCGTGGACGACGTCTCCGTCACGGCTCTCGTGCTGGCTCTTGTAGTCTCCGGTGTGAGCGTCCTGGATGTCGTAGGCAAAGGAGTACTGGGGATGGGGGTCGTACTCATCAACGACAGCCTTGCCGTAGGCAGGGGCGTATGCAGGGGCGGCGTGGTAGGCTGGGGCAGCAGCGTAAGCGACGGGGGCGGCGTACTTGGCAACTGGTGCGTACTTAGCCACGGGAGCGTAGGCGGGGGCGGCGTAGGCGGGGGCGGCGTACGCATGTCCGTACGCTGGGGCGGCGTATGCGTGGCCGTATGCAGGGGTGGCGTAGCCTGCTCTGGCCACGGCTATCAGGGCAGAGAGAGCGACCAGCTGAAACATCAGTTCACAAAACGTTAGCACTGATAAATAAATACGTCACACCACTGCAACTGTTAATGACTTGGGGGTTTCAAAGTTTGCTACTGCAGTCATTTCAAACATTTAAAAGAAAAAGGAAAACTGCAAAGACTTCATGCCTCTGAGAAATCCTAACACGAAGTTATAATAGTTTTTTTTAGAAAAAAACTAAATAAATTTGTTACAGTTCGTTGTGTATATGAATCTTCACGAATTTAAACATGACAAGCTGCTTCTGTGACAAGCGTTTGAATACAAATTATCCTTGCTGCGAAGTAACAATTTTCATTGATGAGCTACTCTTCAATACGTTCCATCGTTTCTTAATAGCGAAACAATAAAAACTACAAAAGGATACACGATTGTTTCAAAGTATAATGAACGAAATACATATATCATGTTTTAACATGTTTTTCAGTTCTTTCGGATATTTTTGAGTGTATAAAGCTAGTTTGAAATATTAATTTTTATTAGTGTTACATGCTGTATCCTCGATAACAAATGTAAGTAGTAACATTATATTCAAACAAATAGTTAATTTAAAAAATTTTGTTATTAAAAATTTTTGTGCATAACGATTCTGAACCACAGAAAATCAAACCGAAAACTTTTCGACATCCAAACACATTTAAAATTTAGCAAAAATATGTATCCTGTACACTAGATCGGAGTAAGAGTAAAATAATCGGATTTCCACTTCAACAGATCACTCCACAACGGTACCGTACACACTCCTAGAACACTGACACGACACTAGAACACTAGAACACACCTTGAGAGCCATTGTTGTGATGTTGCTAGACTGGATACCTCCTACTCGGCAACCCCACCTTATATACATCTTAGCTCTCACGAAGCATCGGTAGTTGCACAAAGGGTAAAAAGTGGGGAATTCTGAATGGCAAGGTTTGTGTTAGGGGGCGTCCTTTCACCTCCCCTCCCTACGACCCTGGGAACTCGTCGTTAATTGGATGAGAGTCACTGTCTCAGTGGGGTCTGTACCATCCGTGGTCACTAGTCACTGTTTACTTATCATGCAGTTTTGTAGGTTGTTTTAATTTTTTTTTAATTTTAGTTAATATAAAAATAACATTTTTAGTACCTTTTTTAAAATGTGGTTTTCTTTCAGCTTTGCTTGCACTTATAAGCTGGGCTTAAGTTTCATACAGAATTGTTTCTTGAATTAGTAAAAATTGTTGAAGTTGTCTGAGATTACATATAAGCTATGTTTTACACGTGAATTTAACTCTTGAGGGTTTTGTTTCTCTCAAGTTTTGTGATATTTAATCTGATCTGTGTTTTCGAAATACTTATTATTCCTCCACATTGCATACATTTGGTTGAAGTGTTTTTGTTGTGTGTTCTTATTTTATTTCAACATACAATTTCAATTAAAATTTTTATTTATTGCGATTGAAACGGATTCAAAACCCCTTGTAACAAAAACGAGATTTCTTCTGCAATAAACGATAAGTTTGTTCTCATTTAGTTTTGATGTTTTTTACTTTATTTACGATTAGGGCTCCTCGTTATAGCTTTTATTGTTTTGTTGTGGTTACTTATACTCCAAAGTAGTAGGAGTAATGGATATAAATCTTAATTGTATTGTTAAATGCAGTCGTTTTTAATTTAAATTAGTATTTTAGTATTTCATTAACTAGTACATCTCTGCGTGTTATTGTTGTAATTGTTTTCTGCTGATAATTAACTATCGTAGTTATTGCACTTAATAGTGTCATTAAGTTAAACATTGTTTAGAGGGTTTTAATAATTTGTTGCTATTTCGCCTAAAAAGACGTTCTAAATAAACATCAACTGTAATAAAAAAGTTTGGAACGCATGGAAGCCTTTGCATATATATATATTTTTTTGTTATATATACTAAAATCGGCCATTCTGAATCAACAACGGCACATTTTTTATATTACTCGATAATGACAAAAGTATTGTAGTAATGTATTTACACTCAGAGAGACACTTATTTTACATTTAATTTCCAATAGCACGCAATTCCTACATTTTGACTCCATACTGCAAAATAAACTTGGATACGTTCCTTATTCCAATTGCGTAAGCTCAAAGCTCTATCAACCTAATCGCCCTGAACATTGCAAGCCATTGTACATCGTCTCCATTACCTAAATCTGAATATCACAGAGCACTTAATATAAGCCAATAATCGTTGTACACAATCCCCCGTTATCCAGATTCTGTTACATTGTTGGCATTTACCTGGTCACTTCATTGTTGTGCAACTGTTCGTCTAATCACTGTTACAACTGATTCGTTTGCATATTTACCCAGTACTTTCCCTCTGTTCGACCTTTAGTTCGTCCCCAGATGACATGACAGTCCTAGTTATTGTGATTGGTCTCATGTTCTGGCTGTCAGAACAGATAACAATAGTGGCCAGAAGATGTATGGACCATTCAGTGCTTGTTTAGCTCTGTGGACACTCCTTGACTAAATGATTGATGGTGTACGTTTGAAGATCGATGTCTTATTTTTACGGTATTTTGACGCCAGTGGAATACGTAAAGACGAGATTTTTGTTTAAAATCTAGGTTTTGAATGCATCATACAATTGATTAACAGGTTAAAGGGTTTAAAATGTTTAATCAATTTAAATATAACTAATTTAAAATACAATAATAATTGAGATTATATCCATAAATAAATCCTTAGAATAAAATTTAGTTGTACAAAGCGCTGTTTTGGCTAAATTCAAATGCTTGTTTAGCTATGTCGACACTCCTGGTGAGGTGGTTTTTATTGGACGGAGACATATGTATTATTTTGTGCCAGTTGAGTACATAACCTGACTTTTGTCAGGTTTATTTTGATATTATTCATTCACAGACAATATTATGTATGAAAAATGGTACTAGGCCTATACGAATATTTTATGAAGCTGATACTTGACATTCTAGAAACCTATAAGTGGATAAACTAACAATTTTGAGTTAGACATCAATTTACTATGAAAACAAAATTAGTATATTTTTGTTCATAAGTAATAAATAATGATTGTTTCGGACAATAATCCTACAGTAATACTCCTCTCCAATGGCACTTCGTGACCTGATTTTTCGCAAAAATTATATTTAGAAATGTTTTTATATAAAAGTTCTTTTTTACTTAAATTATTTAAGATCACACAACGGGTATGGACACTTTTATTAATAAAATATAAAGTGCACTGTTACTTGTAACTGTAACGCAAACAAGGCAGTTGTAAAAACTAAACTGACATCACACAAACGATAGTAGATGAAGTAACTGCACTGAACTGTTCATTAGTCGCAACTAACCCAATACAGAGCAATACAGCTGTATTGTTTGGATACGCTGAGCAGTTACACAGTTACAGTGAGGGATGGACTTTCGCCATTCTTCTGCACGGCCTTGGCTTCTGTCTTTGCCACTGGACGTTAATTAACGGCATCCGGCCTTGCCTCGTCGCCCTCTCGTGCCACTTGCGAAACGAAAATGAGAATATCAGTGGATACCGTAACCGGCAAATGTCATTCGCCATGTGGTTCTTGTTTGTAAATTCTCACGAGTGGATTCTGTGTCACTTATGATTCCTTGTGAGTTTCAACTGGGGCAAACTGTCTACTGCTATTAACTCCGGCTTTGGACAGCATTTGAATGTATTTTTCTAAGCTTCGGCAGCTTACGTTTACGACCGATATTTTTGTAATTTAGCAATTATAGTTTTAAGATACGCAGTGTATTAATATTTTCTTACGCATGTAATTTTGATGTCACAAAATGGTCTAACACAAAACCAACACTATTGTACATTCAATTATCCAACCAAACTGAAAGAAAGTGTCTCAATCGCTTGTATAAGGTGAGACTCTGATCGAGTTCCCGATGCATTGTTCCCTAATTAACTAGTCACCACATCATAATTAGTCAAGGTTTCACCCGTCAAAGAATGATCGTTGGCCAACCGACCTTGCGATCAAAACCAACTAAAGCTATTGTCAGACGGTTTAGCTATGATCACCTTGCCTTTTCGAAATCCAAATCGTTCTAGATAGCGAAGGACGCCTCTTCGGGCGCTCGTTGGTCTATTCGCGGCTAGAAGTTCCGCCCAGTGGTTTGGTCGGTTTCGAAAACTAAAACTATTATCGTACGTCATGCTATTATCTGCCGCTATACGCGGGACCCTGTTATTTCCAGCACGAGTCACGAACCCGATCTCGAAAATGCATCGTAAATTAACGCTGAGATTTCTTAGATTTCCAGATTGTGGGTGTCGAAATGCCTCGGACAATATGTGCTCTGGTTCAATGGTTTTGGGTCAGCTATAATGAATGCAGGATGATGGTGATTTGTGGTCCAAGACTATTGGGGAATAATGTTGGTAGGGAAATATATCAGCATTCTCATGCAGTCCTATATTTATAGGCTCGATGCCCCATCCCCACTCTCGATGTTCCCATCAATGAAATACATTATGGAAAGATTTTTTGTAACATAATAAAATAAAATATAAAAACCAATACGATAATTTAAACCCGCGATCAACTAACCTTGAGTATATACTGAACTTAAGAGCTTCATCAAACGTTTTTACAGAAAGATCTTCCATTTACGCGAAACGGGAGGGATATCGCAGAGCTTTAAGTAACCTGGAATAGATATCAACTAGTTAAGGAACAAAACTAATAAAATATTTCAAATCGGCGTTTTCGAAACGCATGCAATCATTGTCCATTTGTATCTTTAAACAGGTTGATAAAAATAACTAAGCAGACAAACATAATGCATTAATGAGACTACAAGCATATTTTGAAAGGTCAACAACGCAATTAAAACAACCCATACAGCTAACGTATTTGGTCAAGTGTTTCACAACCAGCTTTTCAATTTACGCTCAATTTAACCTTAATTTCGCTGTGGCAGGAATGTTATACGAGCGTGTGACACGCGTGTTGTTTCCTCGTGACTTGGCCGTTGTTTGCATAAACTGGGAGACGGCGACAGTAGCCTAGATCTCCAGGACTCGGCCAAGGCAAGTCCTGCAGGATACGACAGACGAGGTCGAGTTTGGGTGATTTGCTCGAGAATGCACTCTTCGTGACAGACGACTTGTCAGACAAGTACGGCTGATTCGTAATGGCGGCGCGACTTCAAGAGTAAAGGTAAAGGTAATTTACTGTTGTGCAATTTATACTTGTATGGACCTTGTATGGTTAGAAATAGGAGTGGGCTTTTTTATTAGGGAATGAAATGTTGTGATGGAAATGTTGGATTATTAAAGGTGAATATCGTAAATATGAAGCAACAGTTTTGTTTGTTGATTTGTTTACTTATTACGTACTACTTTCTGGATATCACAGAACAGTTATAAAGTACGGTAAAGTGAAATATGTGATCAGAATTAACCTACATGAAAAAGTGTATGAGTATCACTCAACTTCCTCATAAACTCAATACAATTGAACAAGGAAACTGGTACAACTGGTGACAAAGTGTGCCGTGGCAGTGACCCAGGTCTGGAAATAAACAAACTCTTCACCTTGGAACATCTCTAGACGTCGTAACAGACTACTACATCAAATACAAGTGTGATAGTTACCATCACAATGTCACATCACAGTGTACAGTAGAGAGTTGTGATGTAGTGAGGAGGTGGGCCGTGGCAGTGACCCAGGTCTGGAAATAAACAGACTCTTCACCTTGGAACATCTCTAGACGTCGTAACAGACTACTACATCAAATACAAGTGTGATAGTTACCATCACAATGTCACATCACAGTGTACAGTAGAGAGTTGTGATGTAGTGAGGAGGTGGGCCGTGGCAGTGACCCAGGTCTGGATGTAAACAGACTCTTTACCTTGGAACATCTCTAGACGTCGTAACAGACTGCTA